GCAGGGCCCCCGCTGGATTCTGGGCGGCTGGGGCCTGGAGGCCTCCTGGGCCACAAGAAGAGGCCGAGGGGGACGCGCTGGGGAGCCCCCAGCCCTCCTGGCTGCCCACCGGTGGCCCTGCCATGCCCGAGTGGTCACTGCATCGGGTGGGCATGCACCGGAGGCACACCCCAAGGGCTGTGCTGCCTAGATGGGACCCTGTGCGGCCCCCAGACCTGGGTCTGTGTGAAGCGGGGTTCCTGGTGGGCGGGGGCCCCGGAGGTCTCTGCCCGGCACCGCTGGGCTGCACTGTCGGGTCCCTGAGGGTCCGGTCTGGCCGCCCGGTGCCGGGCCCCCTGGGCCCAGTGGTGGCTAGGCTGTGGGGTGGAGTGCCAGGTGGCTGCTTTGGCGGTTTGTGGGGGACCACTGGCCAATAGCAGGGGACCCCCATACGGCAGGGAGCCCCGCAGGAGCCATCCTGGAGGTAGGATCCCGTCGGGGAGCCCCGGACCCCCTCCAGGGACACCCACTCCCGCTGACACACACCCCAGACAAGGCCACCTCCCTCCTGGTGCTGACCTTGCTGCCCGCAGGGGACAGCCCCGTTGCTGTGGGGGTGCGGGCGGGGCGCAGCATGATCAGCCGGACCCCACCTGCACCCCGTGAGGTGGGGGTGGGAGCTCATTGCAGCAGAGGGCGGCGAGGTCGGATGGTGGCCACGTGGCAGACACGGGCCGCGACCTTCGCCCCCCACCGGCTCAGCCCATCTCCTCGGTACACACGCGTGCAGGGGCGTCCGGCTGTGCCTGCGGCCTGGTGGCTGTGGGGCTTCAGGGGCGCCTGCCGCCCCTCGCCCCGGCCGTGCTGTGGGGCCGTGCCCGGGCCACTGGCCCAGCAGGGCAGGGGCTGGCCGCCGAGCCGTCGCTGAGGGGGCCTGGGGTCAGGGCCCTTGGGGTGCTGCCCGGTCCCTGGTACACGGGCCCCACACCGTCCGGTGACTGGCAGCCCTGCCCCTCTGGCCGAGGCGGCGGCTGCAGCAGGACTGTCCAGCCCCGGGGGTGCAGAGGGGGTGCATGCAGCCGGGAGGGTGGGTCCTGCTGGGGTTCGAGTTCTGGCAGGCGGGTGAGTTAGTCCAGCTCCTGAGCCACCCCAGGTCCCCGAAGTGGCCACCCGGCCATGCTGGGTTCTGGAGCAGGCCCAGGGCGGCTGGGCCTGCTGCCCCGTCCCACTGTGTGGCAGTGGTCACTGCGGCCCAGTGGCTGGAGCGCTGGGAGCTGGGCTTGCCCATCCCGTCGCCCTCCTGGGCGTGCGGCTCCCTGGCACCGGCCTAGCTGCCGCTATCACAGACAGCGAGATCAAGTCGCACCCTGCACTCGCGTGCAGGCGGGGTGTTCTCACGCCAGAGAAGCGTGGCCTGGCAGCCCCTCCTGCCTGCTTGGCCTGTGGCTCTGGTTGCCGTGAGGGGCTGCAGCATGGCCCTGTGTCCTGATTCACAGGCTGGTTTCAAGGTCTGTCTGAGGCCCACGAACAAGTGCCCCTTTTCCTGGCTGTATAGTGCTCCTCGGCGTGCAAATGCTTTCCCGTCCTTCAGAAGGTGGCATTTGGGCTCTTCGGCTGCTGTGGGCACTTGTGTTCTCAGTTGCCAGGAACCTGGATGTGGATTTCTGGGTCACAAGACAGGTTCATTCATTACCGGGCCAAGGCCACGTGACAGTGAAGTGTTTAAAGCACTTGAGCCGTCTCCCAACCCTGACAGCACCTGTCAGTGCCTGAGGGTCCCCCGGCCCGGTTGTCCCATCCCACAGCCTTCCTCCTGGCCCCACCCCCACCCCCCCAGGCCCGCCATCCCGCAGCCTTCCTCCTGGGTGTGAGGCGCTGTCCGCCGTGGCTTCAACGAGGTCCCCAGGGCCTGGTGTGGCGCTGCCCGGCCTGGGCTCACTGTCCGCTCGCGTGTCTCTGAGACGCCCTCTTGGAGCCCACCGTGCCTGGGCAGGAGAGTTTTACGTGGTCTCAGCCCACGCTGCCACACGCAGGTGCTGGCCACTGCACCAGGCAGTGGGCGCACTTACCCTCCTGGGCTGCAAGTGCACTGAGTAGGCACACGAGGCCCCTGCACCCCGGACCCCAGGGCACCTTTGTCTCCTGGCCCTGGGGCAGGCAGCCCCTAGGAGCCCTCTGACTGGTGAGCGGCTGGTGACCACTGGGGTCGCTGTTCTCAGGAGAGTCTGCACCCCACCGGGCCCTCCCCGACATTCATGGGGAACCCAAGGGGTTCTGAAATGTTCTGTGTTCCCCGCCCCATCCCAGATGGGGGTTCTCTGCAGGGTATGCGGGCATGGGGGTGGGCGTGGGCGGGGCGTGGGAGGGGAGGGGCTCCAGGGGCAGTGTGGGCGGGGCTTGGGCGGAGGGGCGGGGCTTCAGGGGCAGCTCGGCCAGGCCCCCGGATCCCTTGAGAGCGCCCTGGGGCACCCCTCGCGGGCGGCGACTGCTGAGGAGGGATGGACGCGGTGACCAGGCTGGTTCTGGGAGGAGGGGGTGGTCGTGGGGAGAAGGGCCGTGGGGGCGCGGGGCGCACCTCGTGGGGAGTCCCCGGGGCCGCCACTGGACGCCGAAGGCTGTGGTCGGGGCACGCGCTGGAGGGGGCTCCCGCTGTCCGGGAGCCCCGCTGGGGTTGCCCCGACTGGGGGTTGCCCCGACATCGGCTGCGGCGGTTGCTGGGTCCGGACCGCATGGTCTGTGACTGAAGACTCAGCCCCCAGTGGACACACCTCTGGGGGGGCCCTGCCAGTGCTGGGGGTGTCGTGGGGACAGCGTGGGCTGAGGCCGGCGGAAGCCGCCCTGCGCGGCCTGTGGGGGGTGGGCACAGGCCGGCGCTGCGCCCCGCGTCTGCAGAGGGGCCCGCGCCCCCGGGAACGCGGGGTTCGCACCCCGGGCCTTCGGGAGCAGCAGCCCTCTGACCCCCCGGCGTCCGGGCGCGTCCAGGCGGGGCAGCGGCCGGTCAGCGGCCGGTCAGCGGCGAGCCGCGCCAGCCTGACCCCGCGCCCCCGCAGGCTCCTCGCCCTTCATGGATGCGCTGACTGCCAACGGCACCGCCAGCCTGCAGACGTCGGTCAGCAGCGTGGCCGCGGGGAAGAGGAAGTTCGTGGACGAGCGGCGCGACCAGCCCTTCGACAAGCGGCTGCGCTTCAGCGTGCGGCAGACCGAGAGCGCCTACCGCTACCGCGACGTGGTGGTGCGCAAGCAGGAGGGCTTCACGCACATCCTGCTGTCCACCAAGTCCTCGGAGAACAACTCGCTCAACCCCGAGGTGAGCCAGCGGCCGCAGCGCCCTCGACTGCGTGGCCACCCCGTGGCCACAGGGAGGCCACGAGTGGGGGCGCCCGCAGAGCCCCGACGGCTGCTCCACCGTCACCTTCCCCCACATCAGGGCTGGTGTTGGGGTCCCCCCCACCCCGCACGTCTCGGGGGCAGGGGGAGCGTCTTAGAATGCCCCCGTGGCTTGGGGCAGGCTCCGGAGGGCTCTTGGTTCAGACCGGGAAGGGGGTGCGCAGGTTTTGGGGGCCTTGGCGAGCTCTCATGGGGGCAGGGACCGACCCCACCCCCTGTAGTGCGGCCTCTGGGCGCTGGGGCCGTGGCTCAGGGGAAACCCCCAAAACCCCCACCAGCCAGGCCGGGGGCGCTGCGCCTCCCCTGCCCGGGGCACGCCCCTGAGGGGGCGGGGCAGGGCCCTCGGTCACGCCCCGCCCCGCCCCCCAGGTGATGAAGGAGGTGCAGAGCGCGCTGGGCACGGCAGCGGCCGATGACAGCAAGCTGGTGCTGCTCAGCGCTGTGGGCAGCGTCTTCTGCTGCGGCCTGGACTTCATCTACTTCATCCGGCGCCTGACCGATGACCGCAAGCGGGAGAGCACCCGAATGGCCGAGGCCATCAGGTAGGGGCCCCGCCGCTCCCCCGGCCCCTGGTGTCCCCACCACCCCCGTGTCTGCGGCCTGTGCCCCACTGCCAGAGGAGGGGCTTTGTGGGGACTTGTCCCTGGGCTCCAGATGCCCGCAGGGTGGCCCGGCCCTCGCAGCTGGCCAGCACACAGTGGGGCCACTGCTGGGCTTGGAGCCCGCGGCCGCCAGCCTGGGGGAGGGTGGGGGGCAGCCTCGGTGACCCCGCTGCGCCCTGCAGGACCTTCGTGAACACCTTCATCCAGTTCAAGAAGCCCATCATCGTGGCGGTCAACGGGCCGGCCATCGGGCTGGGGGCGTCCATCCTGCCGCTGTGCGACGTGGTCTGGGCCAACGAGAAGGCCTGGTTCCAGACGCCCTACACTACCTTCGGGCAGAGCCCCGACGGCTGCTCCACCGTCACCTTCCCCCGCATCATGGGCGGCGCCTCCGTGAGTGGGGGCCGGGCCACGGGCATCTGGTGGCGCTGCCCGGGGTCTGCCCCGTCCACCGCCCTGCGCTG